AATCAGTTGTAAGCTTTTCTTGAAGGTCAGACATATTCTTTAGTGAATAATAATCTCCTACCTCATCTCTCAGTCTCTACCATCAGAGAAGCTGGTGCATATTCAGTTGCTGTACACAATGTGTAATCATCCTTTCTTGAAAGCATTTATATTTTTCAAAAATGGTGATTTTTTTGTATTGTTTGATTGTTTAATGCACCCTTCAGCAATATCCCTGCTATATGACACCTGTCTGTAAATAATCAAGATAATCCAGTGATCAGAAGCATGAGCATCCATCAACGCAATTGGGATACGATGACATGTGTCAACTAAGTCAGCGAGCCTGACCACCCAATCCCGTTTTAGTCAGCTCACCCCAGTAGCCTTATACATGTATATTTGTCATTGTTATTAACTCAAGTGACTAAATCCTTGTAACAGTAACAGAGATGCCATGCTATTTTTAGATGTCCACCCCTCCGGGTGTTTCATGTTGTCTCCAAGTGAGCTGCTACTAGATACTGATCTCACAGGTCAGCTACCTCTATTATTGTGAGAGTGAAATGTCTGTAATAAGTGTCTTTACTGTGGTAATCTGCCATTATGTCTGTCTGTCTAAAATCTCAAGTGTTGTCATTATCTGACTGACTAGCTTGTCTGCTATGGTAGACATCTATGTTAAGCCATTCAAAATTAAAGCAGCGACTGGATATCAAGTTTTCACCACAAGGAGCATAACTCATGTTCTTGCTGGGATGGTGACATGATTAAGCCAAAAAAAATTTAGCATGATAATGATGACGACGATGATGATGATGATGATATGCACTTATAATGTGCAGCAATCACAGTCTTTTGTGCTCTGTGCGCTAGCAATTTTCACATTGGAAGGCATCGCTGAAGAGGTGAGTTTGGAGTCTGCTTGTGAATGTTGTCACATTAGGGGCAAGTTTAATGTGGTCTGGAAGTTGATTCCACAGCACATTGGAAAGACCTTTTTCCAAATGTACTCATTCTTACCAATGGAACAGCATGAGAGGCAAGGGTTTAAGGAGAGGGTACAAACTACAGTATTGGAAAGGAAGACCATTTCTAAGATTTGTAAGTAGTGCTTTTCAGTTTATGTATAATATGTGATTCCGACAACTATTTGAGCAATTGGTTTATTCCCTTGAGAAAGAAAAAAGGTACTTCTGGAGAAGAAAATATAATGGGTAAAAAAAATGGTAGAGAGAGGCAGCACAATTTGGTTGTGGGCAGTAGTCATTGAGAGTACATCTCCACCATGACCGAGTGAATGAGTGACCAGATTAGACCAGATAGTTTCAGAGGGAACATTTAAATGTCAAAAGGCATCCTTCCAGCATAGGACTTGGGCCCTCTTCCACAAAGCCATCTTAGCCCTGCAGTGATTGTTACCGTATGTTTAGTGAGTGAGTGAGTTTGGTTTTACGCCACTTTTAGCAATGTTCCAGCAATATCACAGCTTGGGATACCAGAAATGGGCTTCACACATTGTATCTATGTGGGGAATCGAACCCGGATCTTCAGCATGAGCAAACACATTAACCACTAGGCTACCCCACTGCCCTACCCTATGTTTAAGTATGGGAGTTAAGGTCACCTTAGTGCTAAGATTGGTTAGTGGAACAGGGCCTTGATTTGTCCCGGGGCAATCATAGTGATCCTTAAACATGGCCCCCAGTAATCTATACTTGTCCGATCTGGTGGTCAGATTTCGTAGCTTGGTTTATTGACTGTCACATTACCCTCACAGCTTAGGATGTTGTTTATTATATCAACCACATGTTTGTGACAGATACTTTAGATACAGTTTTCATACTGTGTGAATATTGAGGAGTGCAATGTGAGGTATGCATTGACATAATTTCAGCCATGTCCCTAGGTTGTTGAGAAGAATCTGTCATGGCGCTGATCAAGTTTGTATCAGCTTCTTCTACAGAAGTCTGTGTACATCACTATTGTTTGAGTTACAGCTTAATCCACTTCATTTGTTCCTATATACATCACATCTTACTGATATACTTCAACTTATTTCACATTAGTTCCAAATAACTAAATATTCATCTTTGAATGAAAGTATTAAGGACTTTCTTTCACACTAATATGTTAATGCCTTGTTAAAATGTTTGACACTGAGACTTTTATTGTCTTTTGGATCCCAGTCACAGATTATTGATTAATCCACTTTTCAATTTCCTCTGTGTAAAAAAAAGTCCAACTTGTTAAGTTATATAAGTTTCCTGTGATCTGATTCATGCTGTTTGATGGTAAACTCTGAGTGAAAGCATGGTACAGGATTGTCTCTACATGAAAACAGTGTACAAAATGGATGATAGCATTATCCTTTTATACAAATTTTATTAAAGATTTGATGCAAAAAGTTTCTCTTTGTCTAGACTCAACAAGACAGTTATCTACAAGATCCCTTTGAAATTGAAACAAAGTACAATTTAAACTATCCAAGCTTTGATATCCATTCTTTCTAAAATAATAAAAAACCTTATTGATTTATGTATCCAATCAGACAATCAGTGTGGCTTCACAAAATACAAACTTGTCAAAACTAGATCCATCATGATTCAATTGAATTTCTCTTGAACCATTCGGTACAGACCGACTTAACACACATCAACATCAATCTGTGTTAAACACGTCACAGACAATGCAATAAAGCAAAGCTTATATTACTGAACCTCCACACAACCATTTAATTATGCTTCATTGTATGTGATGGGTTGGGAAAATAATAGTTTGATTTGGAAATCTGAAATAACAGACCGTCTTGAATATACCAAGTCTCTTCCAGTGTGAACACGTTGATGAAACCAAAGACGATTGTCTTGGAAGAGGAGGCATAACAATGTAATGTAATTTACAACAGAAAACCATGTCAGTTTGCTCTGTTGTCAAAGTTTCTAGGTTGATGTCGCCCTGGGCGTCAGTCCCATCACATGTGAAGGGTCTATATGATATTGCTGTCTGGAAAAAAACAAGGTATTATAATTCAAAGAAGCTTAGTTTTTTGGTCAACAGTATATACATAATGTGCAAAATGGGTATGAGCTGTCATATAAAACATGATCATGTGAATGACAAATAGGTTTCTTTCTAAGAGTACTAACTTGTTTTGGACTTCAAATGCTACCAGATGTGCTGGTACGACTACGTGGTGTCATAAGGTACTGAAATAGGGCCTGGAAGTGTGCTCTGAATAAATCATGATCACTTTCTTAGAAGATCTAGTTTAATGGTTAATGCTTCATCTTAGGACACAGAGGTGCTCACAGATATATATTCTTTATTTCAAAATAAGAAACATTATGTACTTTGTTCATTTTAAATGTTCTTTCATACTTTGGCATGTCAAAAAAACTGGCAAATTATAGACATAAACCAACTTTTTGAGCATATGAATTGAACATACCAGGGAGAATTAAGTCCCTGAGGTGCCATGTTTTTGTTAAAAATCTACTAAAATAGAGACCATATTATCACAAATTGTCACTTTGTTGACGTACAATATAAATGTACAATGACAATCCGTCTACCTATAAATTTCATCAATTGTTATCTTCTACATCAAACGGAATTATTAAACAATCTTTGTAACTATTTGTGTTTGGGCTTTGAGCTAAGGCAGTGGCTGGTTGATGGATAATATATTTGTATTTCACCATGCCCCTCATGCTATAGTACATGTGTTTATTGTGTACCTATATTATAAGTTGTTCACTGGTCCCTCGGGGCCCATGGGTTGATGTACCCTCGATGTTTGTTTATGTCCCCCCTCGCCCGAATTTTGAATTGTTTGAAGCACGGGTACAAATCTTTTTGTAGCCATCGCTAGAATTTGCTGACAAAAACCAGATTTACAGTTATCTCCCTTCCATCGATTTGCATTCGCAAAACATCGGTAATTTCTGTACATCATTCGTGATTCAATATTATTCGAGATAAAGAATTACTACCACCTAGTACCAAATGAGTTGCCATTGACAGCGGGGTACATTGAAATGTTACTCGCTTGTAAGCAGGGTACATTGAAAATAATAGAAGAGCGCTCAGCCAATCAGAAAGCGACAATTATGTGTGAGGTAAGATAACCATCATTGTAATAATTATTTGCATCTTTGTTTATGGGCCGAAGGCCTTCATACGAAATAAAAGACTTGGCTTGACAACTCAGGGTGGCGTAAAACAACATTCACTCAGTCACTTTTATAATGCTTCTGAACTTGAAATTAATCTTTTGTTAAGGAACATTTGAATAAAGCCTATATTTCAAGGGATATTGTCATTTTATTATTAGTGAGTTGTGTTTAATGTTTATTTGAACAGTGTTTCAGTTGCTTCAAAGTGTGTCAGCTTGATTTGTTTGGAATGCTAAATGTAAAATAGGTCATAGATAGTCCCAGGTAAGGACCATACTCTCCCCTAAATGGGATCTACATCAAAATAGGATTCAAATCCTGGATCAGAAAAATTACATTTGTGACATGTTTTGTTCATAATGATTTATCCTCTGATGACAAGACATTCATGAAGGGGTGGGGTAGAAATATTCACTTACCCCGATGAGTACAGTGCCTTCTGTGATACTGCTGGAATAGAACCTCACTCACTCACTCTAAAGGTTTGGTTGTGTGGTAATCTTGGGTAACTGAGATATCATGACTGAACTGATTGCAGAACTGATTCAGTGTGATTCAGTTTGCAGGTGGATTCAATGTGATTCAGTTTACAGGACAAATTCAATGTGATTCACTTTGCAGGACAAATTCAATGTGATTCAGTTTGCAGGTCAAATTCAATATGATTCACTTTGCAGGACTAATTCAATGTGATTCAGTTTGCAGGTCAAATTCAATGTGATTCAGTTTGCAGGACAAATTCAATGTGATTTACTTTGCAGGACTAATTCAATGTGATTTACTTTGCAGGACTAATTCAATGTGATTCAGTTCATAGGACTAATTCTGTCATTCAATTCGCAGGACTCCTCCCCATCCGTTCATCACTGTACTGACCAACAGACCAGAAAGTTGGCTTCTCCTGCAACAACAGGTGTATGCAATCTGTTGCCATGACAATGAAAGGTATGTCTGTATATTTGGCTCATTTCATTTTTCTTTTTTCATTTTGTATTACCAAACATTGTCTGTTGTCTATGGACAGACAAATTTATATGGGGGTTTGAATTCTGAAAAGCCATAGAACAGTTTGCAAGATCTGTAGTCTCTCCACATCAAGGTAAGACAAGTTCTTCATGATAACTGTTTGTGATACTATTAATCAAATTAAACTAATTATGATATTTGGTCCATCAGCACCACAATTGTGCAGACCTATTGGTCACACAAGAGTGACCTCAGGTCATTTGATAGCAGGGATGAGATTTAGGTTGGGTAGTGAAAAACAACACAGTGAAAGCTGAAGGTTGCCAAAATTTGTCACAGCTATGGGGGGTCATAAAATGACAAAAAATCATAATATAATGTATTTGTAGAGCACTTTATTTCCACCTAAAAGATGTTCAGTTGCACAAAGGACAAAACATTATTACCAATACATTACCTGGTTAATCCAACCTGCCTGTGTGGAACTAGAAGGTTAACAGTCATATGACCATCTTATCCCTCTGGGTACCCATTCACTGCTGGGTGAAAAGAGGCAGTTTTGAACAAAATCACTTGCCTAAGGGGAGCTCTTTGTTTGGGGCAGGACTGAAGTCTTAGAAACTCTCAGGAGTCAAGCTGCCAAACACCAGGGACTCTCTGTGCCCAGTGTTGCTTAACTTCAACTGATATGTGACCTGGGCTCTATGCACAAGACCACACACCACCAAATTAATAGCACCATTCTGTAAACAAATAAATTCTGAACATTATTTGGGAACTGAAGAAATGTTGCATAAAATGGTCATCAGCTAAATATGATGCCATCCCCCCTGCCCTCCACACTTCATGTACACATACATATCCTGTCCTATAATCATAACTTAAATGTATCATTTAGTTCACCCTTCCTATAGCATCTTGCTAACAGGTGTATTTTCGTATTGAATATGTATTTCAAAAACATTATTTTCATTTGCGGTCAGGTACTTTTTGGTATATGATGTATCAATTTGTTATATTTTTGATGGGCCGTTGTGATATTTTTTCTGCAAATCTGCAAGTTTTTCCCCAAATAGTATATGGATTTGAAATTTATACCATTAATCTGTGAAATTACCACCTCAAACAAAATGATTGAATATAGTGGATCTCATAAATCATGGACTATGATTTGGTAATATCTTCAGTGTTCTCCTCAAGAGAATAGTATTACAGAAGAGAAAATTTCCATGAAGAGAAATCTTGTCCCTATTAAACCGTCACATTTTTCTGATGGTCTGGGTCTACCGGCTTGGGATGTTTAATGTTGTGCAAGGTGGTCTAAACTTTTCAATTGGCACCTACTGACATTCTTGAGCAGACAGAAATAATGGCATTTTGGAGGAATCATTCTTGTTTGATCGAGCGATAAGATTGGTGTTATTTTTGTGGAAATGAGTTTGCTACTACTGAGTAATTGTATTTGTATTAAATGAATATTTCTTTAAATAGGTTTCAAATGTTTATGTTCAAACAATACAATCATATAAGTGTTTAGGAGATACTGTTTAGAAATTTGATTGAAAAATAAGTTACAAGGTGTCAAGTTACATTAGCAAATATGTGGCACGTATCTATATCATGTCTGGATGATGATCAAAGTTATGTTGTTCTGGATAGTGCCTTCCCTTAGAATTCAGTTTCCAGAACCGTGCAGATGGGATGGCTATTGAGAGGTTGTATACCTCCCATAAACCACGTCCTGACGTAAAGTGTGTCCTGTCATCTCTCCAGACATGCATTTCAGAAGCATCAGATGAGGATAAAACAAGTGGAGGAGTTTGTCAGTCCTTGATGTGGCTGTTTCTATGTTGATCAGTTACTCAGGAAACGCTGGAGACTGCGTGCATGACCTCAGACCATGCAGACCGCAGGTGTATGGGCATCTCCTTGTTAAGGAGTGAGCGACAGGGTAATATTCAAGGAGATTCATGGCTATATTGCAGCTTTGGATCAGGAAATGAACTATCCCCGACATTGTTCATAATATTGTTGGCGTTAAAACGTGTATGCACCACAGCCCAGGTACTGCAGATAATCTGTGCACTGTGTCTTTGTTCATTGTCCTATCATTCAGGGAAACTCTCTTCATTCCATAATAAGACCCGTGAAGATCCGGGTAGAATAGGTCTTCAGCAACCCATGCTTGCCACAAAAGGCGACTATGCTTGTCGTAAGAGGCGACTAACGGGATCGAGTGGTCAGGCTCGCTGACTTTGTTGACACAATTATTGTCATCGGTTCCCAATTGCGCAGATTGATGCTCATGCTGTTGATCACAGGATTGTCTGGTCCAGACCTGATTATTTACAGAAATATTGCTGAGTGTGGCATAAAACTATACTCACTCACTCACTCACTCATTTCATAATAAGCATTTATATATTTTTAGAGACATTTGGGGTTTTTTGTGTTCCATTTGGACTTTGAATGTATGTGTCTTTGTGTTGAGTTCTAAATGCTGTAATAATGACAGATATTTTGGTGTGAAGATGTTTGCTACTTTGTTGATTGCCAATATAAAAGGTCATTCTTTGAACCAGCTGAATCCAAAAGGGAAATATGTTCAAATTGACCACTGTCAAGTTTAACAAATAATGGGTGTTAGAGTCCCTTCATGTGGATGAGGGGTGGCTCAAAAGTTCCGAGCTAGATGATGATGGACTGCATTGAAGATGTTGGTTGCTATGCAGATTTCAACATATTTCCTCCCTGCCAGGTTAATCCCTCACTGTAAAGTCCTCCACAGTAGAAATAATATATTGTCAGTATTTGTGTTTTGCCTCCCAGGCATGTTTGGAAAGAGGTGAAAATGTGACAGGTAACAAATCAAATTATGAAGGATGTTCTTTGAGTTAAAAACGCAATTATCATCATTTTTTGTTGAAAATATAAACCATTCTGCCCTCATGCTGTTCCCCCCACCTCAGCTTTTACATTTTCAACCAAGACCTCAGAGGCATGTCTTCTAGTCAGAATGATATTTTTTTTCTGTTTGAATGAAGTTACATCTCATTTGGAAAATACAATCCAAAATCTAACGATGTATATTTTCCAGTTTGTTTCTTAAACTAAGTTAGACCATCAGACCATCAACAGTTATCACCATTGGCTATGGTGATGAAGTCTGTTCCCAAATAGTGGTGTTGTCAGCGGGAGTGTCCGATTATGGGATTGGGTTTGCCAGTGATGGCATGGTGGTGCCTACCATTGTCTTGGCAAGTGTTCATGAATGAAGACCAATGGCCTCCTTAGTCATCATTGGTGGCAAGTCTCTGGTGTTTACAAGGTAATGCTTCCAATCCAAAGGGATAAACTTGGGTTGAATTGGCCAATTTAATTTGAAGGGTTTTGCCTCACGCTGACTGTTTTATCTCACCTTCAAGCTGGCTTGAACGTAGTGATTGGTTACAGTTTGAATGCGGTCTATAAATCATTGAGTTTGGACTAAACTATCAAGTGATTAACATCATGAGCATCGATCTAAGTAATTTGGATATGATGACTTGTTTAACCAGCAAGTCAGCAGTACGCGCGCACGCACGCACGCACCCTCACTCACTCACTCACTCACTCACGCACTCACTCACGCGCTCACTCACTCTCACTCACTCACTCACTCACTCACTCACTCTTATGACAACCGAAGTTTAGGATGATCAATATTGCTTATTCATGAATATTAGTAAGTTTATCAGATATATACAGAAGATACCTGGTTGACAGGTGTGTGTCCCTTCTCTACTGGGTGTTTTCATGAAACCTTCCCTATGTAATAGGCACACTGTACAACAGTCATTGAGATAATGCTGGAGGATTGACCAGACAGTTTAATGTCCTTAGTTTCTGGATGGACTTTGGGCTGCTGCACTTCAAGGGAAATGTTTCAGGGCTCCACAACTACATGTCATTACTGACATCCAGGATGTTCATTACAACACAGACATTTTAAACAACAGACCTAATTACTGACAGGATTTGATGATGACTCTGCACGATAGGCACCTCTGAAAGAGGTAGATAATGTGGAGACCAGATGGTAAATATGGCTGCATGGAATGGACAGTGAATTACCAGCCATGAAGACAAACTCTCTGCACCAATCGCTGCAGGGATCTAAAATGTTGTAGCTATTCTGTTTTGCTCATTGTTTTTCATCACCATTCATCCTTGTTCATCCTAGACTTAGAACTGGGGGCAGTGGGGTAGCCTAGTGGTTAAAGCATTCGCTCGTCATGCTGAAGATCCGGGTTTGTTTCCCCACATGGGTACAATGTGTAAAGCCCATTTCTGGTGTCCCCCACCATGATATTGCTGGAATATTGCTGAAAGTGGCATAAAACCAGACTCACTCACTCACTCACTCATTCACTTCGATCTGGTTTTGTATGTTGACTGAGGTAATCAATGTTTGTGAAAAGCCATGACTCATATGACACTTGTGGTAAAGGGTTTGTTTTGAAAAAAAATAGTTCAAATTTGATCCACAAAATACTTGGAAAACAAGTTATAGGTTACAATCCCCACCCCTATCCCCCAAGAAAGGAAAGAAATTTTGTAAAAATCAAGCAAACAAAATATCCAAACATTTCAAGCAAATACCGTTTACCTTGAGAACAAAAGTACTCAATATCTAAAATGATTACTGGCTGTTTCTCTACCTATTTTGTACATGGCACACTCATGGATATTTCGAACAAAGTCTTTCCCATTCCAAGTTCAGAACAAAATGGTCCTGACGCACCCATTTGTATACATTATGTCAGCAATGAACATGAACAGTACAGCCTAATGCATTTCCGGGTTACAGTTCCATTTCGGTTTTGCAGTACAAGGAAACACAATTATGGATTCTTCTTTCATGAAATCGAAATAGTCATGAAAAGTCCTGACAGTTTCTCTTCCCACACATTGTCTTTGAAAAGAAACTTTAGAGTTGA